AGTTGAGATATGTACGATTGAAGGAGGTGGGGTCTCCCAGTTTCAGAAGTAAAATTAATGAGAAAATGGCTGCTAAAATTTGGTGACTTCCATAGTTTGAGTCCTTGGAAACTGCAAATTCACATTTTTTGTGCCTTTAATCAATGTTTTTCCATAAAATCCACACATAAAAGTGTTTTTGAATTGACATACAAGTTGCTTAGCCAAAAAAACTAAAATTTTGGGAAAAAATGCCCAAACTGACCGAAAAATGCAGATTTCGCGGGTTCCTCCTTACTGCTGTCTTTCTGCCACACCCCTGATCTTCTGGTAGGAAAGATTTTCACCTAGCCTTCTCGGACAAGGGCGAAAAGTCTCGGAGGGCCCGTGTGCAAGTTGCGCGCTTTAAAGATCCCTTGGTGGTCTAAAATCGATAAGAGTAGGCTTCGGACGTCACCCGGGCAAAATTCAAAATTTCCTACCAACTGAAGATATTAGGTGTGTCCTGCGCGCTCATATGACCTTATGCAGTTGCGAGCGCTGTGAAACACTTTACATAAACAAAAACAGTTAGGATGGGTTGTTGGCAGTAGCTCTTTTGTGATTAGGTCTTTCTTTGTGGGTGGTTGGTGGGTGCTCTGGTGTGGTTTGCTCCTTCTTTCCTATCAAACACCTATCGTCCTTATCTCCCCTTCTTCTTTTTTATGTTTGTTCCTCTCTTGTAACACCTTAATCTTCTGGGAGCGCCGTAAACCTCTACAAAAACAAAATAGGTCTTTCGTTCCTATCAAACGTCTGTTAGTTGTAGGTATCTTTCCTCCCCTTTCTTATCTTTGTGCATTACTCTCCAGTAACACCTCTAATCTTGAGCACGTATATGACCTGTTTGTGTTGATTAAACTTGAACCAATACTTTAAAAAAAAAAAAAATCCTATTTGGTATCTCAAGAAGAAAATGCTGCTGGTGCCAGAATTATGATATGCAAGTTTTACTCTTTGCCGATGTCTTGTGTGAAGCACTTATTTATTTTTCTGCTAATCTAGTCAAAGAATGCTTTTTGGGCTTGTTGAATAAATGTACAGTATTGAATGTGACATCAAACATATACAATGCTGTACAACGCGTCATTATCTTAATCTTTAAAAAAAACAACTTTTGTACAGTCTTAAACGCTCATCATAGTAATCATAGCGAACACACATACAGTGGAAACCATATATATATAACAGGCCTGGTAATACCAGGGATCCGGTAATAACAAGGATTTTTAAAATTCCCGTTTTTTCCTACTGTTTGTCTCTATTAAAAGTTATCGGCAATAACAGGGCCTCATCGGAGCCCAACCGGTTATAGCAGGGACAAAGGCTCGTTAACGATGTGTAAAAAGTAAGAGATAGAGTGAGAGAGACACAGTGATGGAGCAAGCCCACCCAAGCCATGCCACTGCAAGCACACACAGCGGGTGAAGCGAGAGAAGGCTGCGGTATGCTGCAGACTTCTACTCGAACACGTAATGTGTCATGGGCAGGCCTGCCACATGGCCAAAACCCCTGTTCGTGGGTACTTGTGGCAAGGGAAACTACCCATGAATAAGTACTGCTGGATTAGTCCACAAATGCTTACTTCCCTTGCATTTCTGATTTAACAGGAATCAGATATAATAAGAGGACCTTTTCTCTGGTCCCACCATCCCTGTTATATCAAGTTTCCACTGTAGTAAGTAAGCAGATTTTCATGCCGTGAATACTTTCTTATACACTATGTGTTTGTTTGTATTTAACTCATGAGTATTGTGGGTGGTTGGAGGGTGTTCTGGTGTGCTATGCTTCTTCCTTCCAGTCACTACTATCAGGCATCTGTCGTCCTTATCTCTCCTCTTTCTTTTCTTTTTGTTTAACTTTCTAGCAGCACCTCTAATGTCCAGGGCTGATTTGACCTAATTGTGTTGCAAGTGCTCTAAAATTCATACGAAACTAAACTAAAACACGGTCATAGCAAAATTCGTAAATTGCGAAAAGATTTCCCTTCCCTCAGATTTCACTATGTTGGGGCTAGACTGTACTGTACATGCACGTATGTTTTAAATGTAATGACATTTGGGTTAAGTTATGCATTTTGTTGTAGTCAAAGAGGCGGCATGGAAACATTTACACAAGTTCAGTTGGGCACAGATAACATGAACACAGGGGACTGGGAATCACGGATAGCTCGCACAATTAATTACCCATTCCCTGACATATGATGACTCTTTAATTCTTCGTAATCAGTTAATCTGAATTCTAGACGTGTGTGGAACACATAATTTGTCTATCGCGGAGATGTTTGAGCTGTCCATGCCCGGCTGTTATGTCTTGAAGCATCTTCTCAGATCTCACCTCATTTCTAATAACGTGTAGTTATTTATGCAGCTTTCCATTTTATATTATTTTCAATTTATGTTGTCCATTTTATATATTCAATTTATGTACTTGTATTCAGTTTTTGTTTAGCTTAGCGTATGTTATAATCGTTGTGACTGTACATAAATATATATGCATACGTGTGTGTGATTCTACCTTTGGTGATTACGTACGTTTATGCATACGTTTGATTCCATCTTTTATTTTTATACATTGTACACCTATTTTTTAAATTTTTGCTTTGAGTCATGTAGGAGAGAGTCCATTTTATTTGTCCATCGAAAATATTTGTGTGAAGTTTCTTAATATATGCATTTGTGATACTGATAGTGAAAGCATTGACAAAGTATCCATGTCCAAAACCATCATACTGCGCCATTATATAATAATACACATACATACATAAAATACACAAAGTGGAATCCGCTTAAACTAAACGCTGTTAATCAGAAAATCAAATCCCCAATTATTTTTTTTTCTATTTGAGCAATCCTTCTATTTGAAAACATGGATCGGATAAACTAAGCAAAATCGGGCTGTCCTGGAGATTTCTGTTTTGACGGAGTTCGCTTTATGTGCATGCTGAAATGAAGTTTAAATTTGGTGAAACTATAGACATTTGTGAGGCAGCGTGGTGAAACAGGGGCTCGTCAAGATAATGAAAGTGAAGAAACTTACACTTTTCCGCCGGTTTGGCAATTTTAGAAATTGAAATTGTGTTTTTTAGCTCAACGCATTCTATGTCCTTTTAAGAACCCATTTAAGTGTGAATTATATTGAAAAATGTTTATTAAAGGCATAAAAATGTAAATTGTCGGTTTCCATGGACTCTGAGGCTTTGTAAATAACTAAACTTTGGGGGCCATTTTCTCACTAATTTTACCTCTGTAACCAGGCGACCCCACCTCATTCAATCGCAAATATCTTGACATGTTTTCAAGATAAATTAGTAATTCTTTCATCGAAAGCAAGAAAAGTGACCAAGCTTTAAGGTGATACCAATAACTCCCCATGCCCAAGAATTGACGAAAAAGAATTGACGAGCGCCTGGTTCCACCACGTCGTGACACATATAGTAGCTATAATAGAAATAAAACCATATTTATGTGTTTGTGCGATAGGTAGAAAGTACTCTCTGTTCAAAACCGGGTTTTATTCATTCATCCTGGGTCATTCTAGACTCATGTTATATTGAATATTGAAAGCTGAACTGCAAAAAGCTATTTATATATATATATATATATATTATTATATATAATAGCTCTGCGAGCAAGTCATTGTTTTTCTTTTAGTATTATTGTACTGTGAACATTTTTCCAATTTTAACTGTGTATTATTATCACCCCACCGATCTTTCGAGATCCATGAAGGTATTAATAATGAAAAGGTTACATTGCAAAAACTATATCATGTACACAAATGATATGTATATGTTATAATAAAGTTGTTCTTATGTATGTGATACCATTAAAGATTTTCTTGACCAAAACTATTTATTGTTTATTTTGTCATGGATGGTTTGTGGGTGCTCTGGTGTGGTTTGATCCTTCTTTCCCATCAATCAACTTTCATCTTTATCTCTCCTTCTACTTTTCTTTGTATGTTACTACTCTCTAGTAACACCACAGACAGGCAGCCTGCCTCCCAAATTGTATTGATTGGGGCGTAAAACTTCTCCAAATTACAATCACATTTTAGCGTGAATCTTTAAGTTGCGCGGAACTGCCAAATTTCCAAAAGGCGTACCTTCAGCTCAGTTAATTACATACTGTACCGCAATGAAGTTCCTCCTATTTTTTTTATCAATAATATTTCATGCTAATCTCATGCAATACCACTGCGTTTGCAGTAACAATGTTAAAAGTTCTACCTTGGTCCGAATCATCACCATCAAATGATCTTTTTTTTTTATTTGAGTTGTTCCTGTCAATTATTTTTTGAGTTTTTTTCCTAGGTTCCTGTGGGTGATTGGAGGGTGTTCTGGTGTGATTTGCTCCTTCTTTTCTATCAAAATCTATTGTCCTTATAATATCGTGTCCTATTTTTCTTTGTATTTTGTGCTGGTCTCTAGCAATACCTTTGATTTTCGGCACATAGTATGACCTATATGTGTTGTAAGTGCCGTGAAACTCTTACTGAAACTAAATATTGGGCTCTCTGCTCTCTTGGTTTGGACATTTATTTTGTAGATTCCACTACAGATTTGAAAAAGATATTCTGTACCAAACTGCCTCATATTCATGACCAAAAAAAAATACCCTAACAAAACCCAAAACATTTTTTATTTAACTTTATGAACCAATTATCATATTGGAAGGTGAATCTCTCTGGGTGAATTAATAAGTCATTGTCTCTGGGGGATACCAGGTATCGCTGCGGGGCTTATTCGTAATATCAGACACAATTAAGCCTTCAGACAGATAGTTATTCAAATAATAGCCTATGACACACGGGAAAAAAGGGACAACGCAATATGAACCCAACTACTTTGGCAATGGAGTTCACTTTACGGATTAATAGATGTCTCCTGTTCAAATATATATGAAAATTGAAACCCAAGTGTAGAACTCTGTGAACCCAACAAAGATCGTACCCTTTCGATACCTTTTCAAATTATGCATTCGATTACTTTTGTACCTGTTCAGCGTCCCAAAACAAGCAGGTGAGACTTCCGGTGCCTGGTACTTCCGTGTTCAAAATGGCGGTGGCCTGAATCAGGTAGGTTGGGGAAACTTAAATTTTTCCTCAGCTAACCCTCGAATAGAATTAGCATGCAAATCACTCTTGTACACTTCCATTACGCAATTCTATTTAAAAATTGTAGAAAAGTTGTCCATCACCGTGATTTTGATGAATTCAACAACTTTGTCAATGAGTTATTCTTGGGGCTGGGATGGCTTGCAATGATGTTTATTAAATATAATATATATATATAGAGTACATCCTGTGGTGCGATATACAGTAAGCGATCTTTTGTGGATATCTCTGGAAGTTACAGGTCGATCTTCATGATTTTTTCACCAGAAGTTAGAAAAACTTCCTCTCTATACGGTGTAGCGCATTACTGTAACAGCAGTTTAAAATTTCTATATGTTGTGGTGGTGTTTGTTTGGTAACGTGTGTCTGGTTTGGTGCGCAAGGTTTCTGGTTTGGTGCAACATATCGTCTTGTTTGGTGCGCAATAGTACCATGTTTACAGCTCTAGATCTAGATCTAGCTCTTTTCTGACACTTTTCATCTTTCTCTATCCTTGCTTTGTCTTCTTTTCCTTGCAAGAAGTTCCTGTACTGACCATAATGGAAGGCCAAGGTCAATTAGGCGTGTTCTTTTTGGGAGCTGTGCGCCCCCTGACAGGAGATTTCCTTACACCTTGTGTATGTGTTTTGATAATGGATAAAAAGAAAGGTGCTGTGGACACAAGAAGGGGAAAGAAGAAAACAAGAATAAGACTATACCTAGACTAGTATTTTAGAAGGAAAAGGACAAAAAAGAAGAAGAAAAAGACGTGAAAAGAAGAAATTGAAAAAGAAAGGTGCTGTGGACACAAGGAAGTGAAAGAAGAAAACAAGAATTAGACTATACCTAGACTAGTATTCTTTAAGGAAAAGGGCAAAAAAGAAGAAGAAAAAGACATGAAAAGAAGAAATTGAACATTTTGGAGATTATATTTCCATATTAATTAATTTTGACATGAATACATTAACTTATCATCTTCCAATGGCAATATAATGCATCCAAATGGAAGGAAAACAGTCTGTTTCAGTGCACAATGCAGGTCATAGAGAAATAACTTAATAAGTAAAACAAACAAAGGGCCTAGAAGCCACACTATCAATGCCAAATAGCAAAAAAGCCGATATTGCGCACGAAACGGACTGCCCAAATTTTGTCCTCTTCAGTGCGCAACCCTATCTAACACGTTCCTGGGCATTAAGAAGCAGCCTGCGATAGTATTTATCGATTCTAGTATACATTCTACGATACATTAGAGCTAGATTAGCTAGATGTGCTAAATAATCGACTACTCAAGCGCTTAGTAAATTGATCGATACCGGTTACGAAAACCATTAATATGAAGGGGCAAAACTTTCCGACACCGTAGAATCACGTGTGTTGACAGGAACCTCCAAAACGAAAGTGAAATAAGCTGCATTCTGCGCATGCTCACAGAAAATGACCTCGTTTTCGCTGTTCTTATCCAAAACAAAGCAGGAGACCGGGGGTTGCGCACCAAAACAGTAGCGCGGTGATGCGGGCCTACTCTAGATCTAGAATCTAGTAGGTCACTTCCTGAATTCATAATTCATATATTTAATCATAGTTTACAAAATTCATAGTCGAACTAGATCTAGATCTAGATTCTAATAGAACGGTAATTTTTATCAGTGAAAGAAAGATGTTCAAGGCCTGTATAATGTTTTTTCAAGTGTCCCAGAAATAGCATTTTTGTGACTTGTCATTAATGATGACCAGGGGCGGCTAGTGGGGCTAAAAAGTGGACGTGCACAATTAGGCGCTTTTTCGGTAGTTCCCACCCCGCATTTGTTATTTGCCGGTATTGGCCCCAAGAGTAGGGGGGTTTCAGGGGGGCTTGCCCCCCTGACGTAATAAAAACATGGTGGGGGGTTTCAGGGGGGCATGCCCCCCTGAATTTTACCACAATTTAATGTTTTGCAGTTGTTAGGTTTGATATCTTAGCTTGCCGCGAATCAAATGTATAGATCTAGATGTAGGTCAGGCTCAATCAAATAAGGGGGGTGGGAACTACCGAAAAAGCGCCCACAATTAAGCTATCACATGCTGAAGCTAGTCAAGGGCATAGTAAATGAGATGGTGTATAAATGAAGGATCTTTGGGTTGGTGATGGAGGACCTCGTGCTTTTATTTTCATTTGTTTTACTTGTCGCTTTGATTTCTAGTACTAGAATGGCCACCTCTATTCTCACCCGGGGTGAGAATAGTGCAGGCGAGTCTTTTGGCTATTCTCACCCGGTGCGCGTTCACCGTTTTATAGCCTAGATCTAGGCCAACAAATTTTGCGTTCACCCTAAACCACAGAATTCTACACTGTGATAACAAAAATTGTAGAATTCTGTGCCGTGAACAAACGTTCCATTACAACTGTAGCCTACTAAAAGCGTACAATTTTGTCTTTGGGCAGTGGAGAGGGAGAGAGGAGTAGCGCGATAACTTCCGGTCAAAACAAAATGGCGACCCGAGTAGTTCGGCTCGATTCGAAAAGTTAAATAGCTCTAGCATCTTTGTAGACAACCAAATTAATTTACTTTTGTGTTTTAACATCATTTTTTAACTTTGTTTTGGTCAATTTGATCGTCCACACCGATAGACAGTATTCAGAAAGAGAGAGGGGGGAGGAGTAGATCTTGCGAGAACTTCCGGGCAAAACAAAATGGCGACCCGCGTAGTTCGGCTCGATTCAAACAGTGAGCCATAGCATCTTTGAAGACGATCAAATTAGCTTACTTTTGTGCTATAACGTAATTTTTTCTTGGCTTTTATCAATTTGATCATCCACACCGATAGACAGTATTCCAAAATGAGGAAAAGCAGGTCTTGTTTCGCACCGGGTGAGAATAGCCTACGCTGGCAAGTCTCACCCGGGGTGAGAGGTTGATCATTTTTCTATTCTCACCCCGGATGAGAATAGCCACTTCCTACTAGAATCTAGATCTAGATTCTAGATCAAATTTGTTTGTTAGCTAAACATCAATTTCGTTCATCCTTTGTCGGAATTTAACACTCAATAAAATAACTTTCACTACTCCGCTACAAAACCTTTCAAAAGCACAACTCTCATAGGACGGTCACGTTCGCCTCCCTCAGGTTCATGGTCACAGAGTCGCTTAAAATAGTGGCAAGACAGACAATGAACCAATCACAATTCACTTGAGCACTCCGCTGGATTTCTCCGGGGCTCACATAATATTGGCAAAGAATAGCGTACAGTCTATCGCGTTTATTTTTAGACTGCCTACTGTGGGCTTTGTTTCGGCACTCTTCGGCAGGAGCACATTTGAGATGTGCCGGCTTATTAATATTAATGTACCGCCAAACTCGCTACGAGTGTCGTCATCGCTTGGATTATAATCCCCAAGAGCGGTTTATAGGTCAGGTTACACTATTGAATCTATTATGTTAGGAAGAGGCTAGCCGTACTTAATGACGGCTAGACTGGCAGTCTAGCCGTACTTAAGTACGGCTAGACTCGCAGTCTAGCCGTACTTATTCTTAATATGATGGCTAGACTGACCATTTACAAAAAATAGGCCTACTGAATTGTAAATATATACATTTTTAGTGTACAGTACCTAAAGTATTTGTATTTGAGACGAAACCAGGTGCCTTAATGACAGTGCATGTATTTTAAACCTCCTGTTTTCTAATGTAAATAGGGCCTAAGATAAGTACGGCTAGACTGGCAGTCTAGCCGTACCTAGAGTACGGAAGGACTTCTTGTCTAGCCGTACTTAAGTACGGGTTAGAGCCGCCAGGCTAGCCGTACTTAAGGACGGCTAGACTGTCAGGCTAGCCGTACTTAATATTGATGGCTGAATAATTGTAAATGAAATTTTTAGTTTGCAATGCCTAAAGTATTTGTATTTCAGACAAAATCAAAGGTGCCTTACTGACTTGCATGTATTTGAACCTGAATAATTACTAGATCTAGATCTAATGAGACCTGTGTACTTATCAGGCTTGAGTCGATAGGGCCAAACCTAGATCTAAGTACGGCTAGACTGGCAGTCTAGCCGTACTTAAGTACGGCTAGACTCTCAGTCTAGCCGTACTTAAGTACGGCTAGCCACTTCGATTATGTTTAGCTAAAGCGCGTGGACTTTGGTATGGCATAGTAGATGTTTTACGGCGCTATAGACACAGAAATGAGTTATGACGCAGCGAGGACCTTGTTTTGATATAATATTTGGCTAGTGTTTGTTTCTGGCTTCTTTTATAATATTATTTTGGGTGTTTTACGTAATTGAACAGTTAAAAAATTTTGGTCGGCACTGCACGGCCGTGCTCTATGAACTTGTGTGTGCGTCTGATGATGACCTTACCATGATTACCTGATTGTTTTGGGTTTTTTTAATTTTTATTAAAAAATTTTCTGCCAGTCTAGCCGTACTTAGATCTAGGTTTGGCCTTTGACTCAAGCCTGTTTAGTACACAGGTCTCATTAGATCTAGATCTAGTAATTATTCAGGTTCAAATACATGCAAGTCAGTAAGGCATCTTTTGGTTTTGTCTGAAATACAAATACTTTAGGCATTGCAAACTAAAAATTTCATTTATAATTCAGCCATCAATATTAAGTACGGCTAGCCTGGCTGTCTACCCGTACTTAAGTATGGCTAGACTGCCAGTCTAGCCGTACTTATCTTAAGCCCTATTAATATTAGAAAACAGGAGGTTTAAAATACATGCACTGTCATTAAGGCACCTGGTTTCGTCTCAAATGCAAATACTTTAGGTACTGCACACTAAAAATGTATATTTACAATTCAGTAGGCCTATTTTTTGTAAATGGTCAGTCTAGCCATCATATTAAGAATAAGTACGGCTAGACTGCGAGTCTAGCCGTACTACCTTTATCGTATTGTGCTTTGAAATTCAAGTCAGCACGGTTACACCAATAGTGCCTATATTTTTTCGAAGTGACTATTTCTCCGAATGTGCGAGAAAATAAAGTTGAACTCTATTTCTCATAATGGTTTCCGATCTCGAGATTTTTTGGTTATTTGCGAGATGGGAGTGTATACAGACCCGGTAACCGGGAACAAAGTCACAAAGTATACAGACCCGGTAGGGGAACTATTTTGTGATTTCGGAAAGTTTCAATGCCCTCTTGGCTCAGGGTAGACCTAGGTTCTTCTTGACCTATGGCCCAGGCCTAGATCTAGACAGACAAACATAAATCATTGATCTAGTTTCGAGGCTAGCCTCTATAGATATCTAAATTATGAAGATTGCGGATATCTTTTCGATGAACGATCGTTTTTCCTCCGTTTTGGAGTTGGGGGAATCACAATTTGAAGAAAAGAACAATGTCATAATTTCAATCGAGCAGTCACCCTCTCTATTTCTCTGCCTTTCTCTCTCTCTCTCTCTCGATCTCTCTCCTCTGTCTCTGTGTGTCGCTCGCATTCTCTTTTTCTTTGTTTGTCTCTGTCTTTCTTTCTCCCCACCTATTTCCCACTCTATCTTTCTCTCGTTCCCTCCTGCCAACTGGGGCATGTCATAACATTTAGCTAGCACTTCTCTCTCTCTCTCTCTCTCTCTCTCTCTCTCTCTCTCGCTCACACACACACACACTCTACCGAGTCTGGGCGCTGAAACTCTCCGAAATCACAAAAGAGTTCCCCTGCCGGGTCTGTATACTTCGTGACTTTGTTCCCGGTTACTGGGTCTGTATACACTTCATTGCGAGATTTAGGCTTCATCCTTTCATTCTGCCATCGGAGTGATTATTCTCACTTGGGGTGAGGATGTGAGAAGAAAATTGATACTATTCTCACACCGGGTGAGAATAACAACAGCCTACTATTCTCACCCATTTTTTTCGTTTCGGGCATCATAGGACCCCTGTCACTGAGCGCTCCAGGTGACAAAACTCGCTTCCCTCTATCTCACTCCGCTGAGCGCGCGAGGCGACTAAAATCGCCAACGGGCGGGCCAGCTCTCGAGCGCGGGAGGCGACTAAAATCGCCAACGGGCGGGCCAGCTCTCGAGCGCGGGAGGCGACTATTGTCGATTTGGGGGGAAACCATATCTTTTGACCAAATAGCGTCACCTTTTGTTGCTATTGGTTCTGTAATGGGAAAACTTAACTCTTGAATGGTTTAACCAATCAAAATTAAGAAAAAATAAGCCTAGAAAAATAATCGTGGGTTTTGTTAGGGATAACAATTAAAGATGTTTTTTTGTGTTGTAAACAAATTATGCCAATTCTATCTTTACAATGACAAACTATTACTAGATTCTAGATCTAACATTATTTCATTAAACAGTTTTAAGTTAAGGCTAAGGCTATTGTTTTAAAAAACATAGGACTCTGGCAAGTGAATTGCTTTCTGAATTTAGACTATTGATCTACACTTGTGTCTAGAGTTTTGGTGAAGATATATGTGCATACTCTCAAGATTTTAAAAAAATGAAACAATAACAATCACCGAGGGAGACTAGAAAAATCGGCCAGTGCTCTGGGGTAGGTCACGAAGGGTCACTCTTACAATTCACAAATTATTTTCTATCATCCTATTAGCCTACATGTAGGCCTACCAGTTCTCAATACCCAGGTAGACCTAAGAATAAAAATCCATTGCTTGCATTCTCAGACCGGATGAGAATAATATTATATTTTTATTTTCACCCCGGGTGAGAAATAACGATGACAGCCTTCTGCCATTTTGCGAGGACTGGGAAGAAGCATTTTTTGCATTGAATTCATTTTCTAGAGCTGGAGATTTTTTAATTTCTGAATATTCAGGTACTTCAGTTGTGGTTAGGGCAATGTTCCTGGACTATACTTTATTTGAAAATACCTTCAAAAGGTACTACGAGAAAATAAGACTGCTCGGCCTTGGCAGTAACCTATTTTGCATTTAGTCACCCAGCAAAAACTAAAATTCTTCGTGAAAAAAAATCCCTCCACCCACCGTTCACACTTAACACATGCACACACACACAGGCCACACCATTCGCTTATTATCAACAAATCTCGAGAGCGGAAACCGTTCGGAGAAATAGAGCTGGCCATATTTTGTTCTAACTGCCATTTGATGATTATTATGTGCTCATTTTGATTCAGACTTTGCAGTACTATGTTAAAAGTCCTAGTGCAATGATAAAAATCCTACTTACTTTTTCGTCTTTTTTCTTTCAGTGTGACCAGTGACAAATATACTCCTGGATTTTTCGCCTTCCTTCGGTGCAGCGTAAGATCTGATTTTTTGTGGGCTTCTCGGCGACAAACTCCCAGCCATCATGCCGTCGGCATCGATGTACGCGAGCCCTTACACTTATAAGGAGCCACCACGGAGAATCAACTACCCGCCATTATTTTCTTCCCTCAACAACCTGACGTTCAGGTAAGATTTGTGTGTACATTTTTACATTTTTATCTGTGTAAGACACGTGGATGGCTGGTGCCTCTATAAATAAATCATTGATGGTCAGGTCAGGTCATCTGTGTAAGATCACTAAAATTATGATGAGATCTGCAATGTTATACCACACTCATTGACGTAGTGGTGAGGCACTTTTCTGTGACACGTCACTGTATCATTCTGATGTGTCTAGGGGGCTTTCGTGGTCGAAAGGCATTGGGTTTACCTCTCATTCAGTAGGTTCCGGGTTCAAAATCGGAGAGCGATGGAAAGTTTTCTGCTCTAAATTTTTTTACTTTCGCCTCCTTTCCTGGTCTCTAACCATGTTCTGTCGTCTGTTTTCGTCTCCACTTTCTGGTATCATTTGATAACTTATTCATTTGCCTTGCTTTCACCGTATATAATACCCATATATCTTAAACAAAAGTTGAGATATTTGCGATTGAAGGAGGTAGGGTTGCTTGCTTTCAGAGGTAAAAATAACCAAAAATGGCCCCCAAAGTTTGGTAACTTCAATAGCTTCAGAGTCCTCGAAAACTGAAAAAAAAAAATCACATAATTTGTCCCTTTAATCTACGTTCTTCAGTAAAAATGCGTTTTTATATTGGCATAAAAGGTGTGGAGCGAAAGAACAAAATTTCGATAAAAATCGCCAAACTTGTTGAAAATGCCTATTTCTTCTTCAATTTAATTATTTTGACGAGCGCCTGATTTCACCATAATGCCTCACATATATATATGTATATATATATATATTTTCCAGGTACATCTTTGACTCGAAGATTCTGGCTCTGTCAGCTCTACTTTTGCTGGTGTCCTTCATTGTGATCACTCTGATGGCCATTATGCCATTCTGGTTTGAGCTGGTTCTGAGCCAGCAGGATGGTACATTTGGCCAAATGCAGGAAAAGCCGGGGATTACCATAAACACGGGCATTTTCTTCATGAGAGAGGATCACTTTGACAACCTCATCTTTCTGAACAAGTTCAGCAACGAGGATGTTGTTCCAAGTGAGTAGCCTCGCGCGTTCCTTCAACCGTCAGTCCCTTCTTTCCTATCAAACATCTGTTGTCCTTTTCTCCCCTCCTTCTGTTTTGTGTTTGTTACTCTCTTGTAACACCTCTAATCTTCATCACTTATATGACCCTATTGCGTTGCAAGTGCTGTAAAACTTTTACTAAAACTAGACAACCACCAGTGTCTGGTGTTGTGGTTAGTTAGGCACTTTGCCGTCATTTGCAGGCGACTCGAGTTCGATTCCCACGTTGGGAGAATTTTTATCGGTTATTTCGATTTTTCTGCTGGAGTGTGGTGGCCCTGATGGACTATGTTGTAGCAGCCTGCCTCTTAAACGATCTAATTTGGGTTGATGAGAGTGTTGTTAGCGATCCTGTAGCTTCTGAGTGTTAACTCTTCTGCATGATGCCATTCTGTAATAGCTGCATGTCTGTTCTCATTGTTGTCTTGAGGAGTAGAGGCAGTTTTTTTTTTTCTTTTTCTTAAGTTGCTACCATCTTTGTTTCACAGGAACAGAAATAATTTTAAAAGACTATTTTAGATTAGACCTTCGTGGTTTTGAATGTTCCATTTGTTCACTGTGTTATGACTGTTCTTACTAGTGGGTGGTTGGCGGGTGCTCTGGTGTGGTTTGCTTCTTCTTTCCTATCAAACATCTATTGTCCTTATCTCCCCTTCATCTTTTTTTTGTTTTGTTTGTTACTCTCTTGTAACACCTCTAATCTTCTGGCGCTCTTATGACCTTATGCAGTTGCGAGCACCGTAAAACCTCTACTAAAACTAAAACTAAAGAATGTTCTAACAGTTCACTGTGTTGTGACTATTTTTATTTTTCACTGTGTTATGAATGTTCTAATTGTTCACTGTGTTATCTCTCCAGAAACTCTTGCCTTTGCTCAAGTGTGCTCAATCATCGGGAACTGTATCATTACATGCTGCCTGGTGGCCACGCTGATCCTGGTGTTTCGAAGGTTTGGCTCCGCCACTGGCACGATAATGCTGGCTGGGGCCGCAACTGTGGGAGGTATGTTAAAATAAAACATGGTTATCTATAATGTTGATAAAATAATAATATTATTAATTGCATTTATATAGCGTATAGCCACGCTCTACAGCATGCCCTATTGGCTTTACAACTATTGTTACCCCTGGATAGAACACTCAGAGGAAACATTCTCAGCTTCCCTGAAAGGATACAGTGCAAGCTACAGGTTTCACGCGGTATGACACAACTATAATGATAATAATAATTGATAGCGCATATCCACGCTCTACAGCAAGCTCTATGCCCGTAACAACTATTATTACCCCAGGAGACTGTAAAATAAGGTCTGAAACGTTCTTGGCTTCTCAGGAAGCATACAGTGCAAGTTGCGGATTTCACCCACTCAAACACTAGCAAACTTACAAGATCTTTCACTGTCTATAACATAGCTGCCACTTTTCCGCTAAATAGCGGAAACTCCGCTTCATCTAGCTTTTCCCGCTACTTTCCACCTTCCTCCGCGGGACCGCTCTCGGTCGCAAATTGCGATACTTTTTTACACGCGGAAAACACCGAACCGGGAGAGAGACGAAAACGCAGCTTGCGCATGTCCGCCCGTAGCTTTCTACTTCCGTTCTTCTAGGCCGAGCGTTAGTTTCACATTGTTTATTGTGGAGCAACAAAGTGTCGAACGGGCATCGAGACGTTAGCGCGCCGAGTTGTCATTGAAAACGGCGGAAATTCGAGAGAAGTTGATGCAGAATGCAAAAATAATTATAAGGAGCTCCGCTTGCTGCACTTTGCGTTTGGTGCGATAAAGAAATCGCGGCCCGCGGCACTCCTGTACAATTGCGGTCCCGTTTGTTTACATGACGGCTATTGTCTATTGTGGCTGTTGAAATGAATCTAGATCTAGATATAATCTAGATTTACACATATTTAGATATCTAGATCTAGATTAGATAGCCTAGGCTGTAATTTTAATTCAGGTTAGATCTACACTCTACAGAGGGACTATACTAAGTTAAGTGCAAACGGGACCGCAATTGTACAGGAGTGCTCAGTACAGCGGCAAAGGTGTTGCCTCTTTGATCCAATACTGCGCGCGCTCTACATCGATGTACAAGTTTAAAGAGAAAGAAATCTTTTTATAAGACACCAGCTTGCAACAAACTCTGGATTTTTAGTCACCAAGTCCAAACTGTGTCAAATTGACTCAAATGCTTGTTAGTCTACTTAGTGCCTTTGTTGGGTTTTGTTTTTTTCAAATACATTTTAATTCAGTTGCCTATGGTTAACAAATATGACAGTTTTCCCTTCCAAAACCATAGGCTACATTTTCCAGTATATATTGCCTCTGGATCTCACTGGTTTTACTCCAGCCTTCGGAGAGCGCGCGTCCGAGTTCGCATGAATTTCCTCCTTTTTTGAAATTCCTGAGTGGCAGCTATGCTATAACTGTAACCGGGGACCCATTTCCTCCTGGATGAAGTGAGAAAAATGTGTGTAAAATGTCTTTCCCAGGAAAGAACCCATGACCTTACGGTTGTGAGTCTAAGAGCCTAACCACCAGGCCAACAACGCTACCAAATCTCTTTGTGGAGTGCTGGATAATAGAAAAAAAATAATTTAAAACTTGGAAGGAAAAAATAAAAGATAAAAACAAAACTATATTGTAAGATGCACCTTGTTGTCTTTATTGAAATAACGGCTTTGTCTGGAAAACCCACTGGAGTGCGGAATGACGCAGGCGGTGTGTCATTGTGAGTCATCGTGGTGAAATCAGGCACTTGTTGAAATTATAATAAAATCAAAGAAACAGGCGTTTTCCTGCCTGTGTGGTGTTTTGTATCAAATATTTGTTGGGGGGGGGGGGGGGCTCAACACCATTTATGTCTATTTAAAACATTTTTGTGTTGATTTTACTGAAAAACGTTTATGAAAGGCATACAAAATGCAAATTTTCTGTTTTCAAGGACTCTCAAATGATGGGAATCACCAAACTTTGGTAGCCATTTTCTCTCCTATTTTACCTCTGAAACCAGGTGACCCCCACCTCCTCCAATTGCAAATATCTTGACTTATATTGAAAAAAGATAGGTTGGGTTTGTTTTTTTTCATGGAAAGTAAGACAAATGAACAAGCTTTAAGATGATATGAAAAACTCCATATACCCAAAAATTGACGAACGCCTGATGGGTTTTTAAAAATGTTTTAGTAAGCTTTTTGCGGCACTTGCAACACAATGAGGTAATAATAGGGCCGAATATTAGAGGTGTTACAAGAGAGTAACAGACATAAAAAGGAGGAGCAATAAAGACAATAGTCGTTTAAAAGGAAAGAAGGAGCAAACCCCACCAGAGCACCTGCCAACCACCCACTCGAATGCCTAATTCCACTGCGCCATGACACAATCTATTTAAGAGGTGGCCACCTAGGTGTTAACTCATTGTTTGCTCTAACTGAATAGCAGAATTTTGTTTTCACCCCCCCCCCCCCCAACCACTCACACCCCATCTTTGTTTTTTTTTTCAGCATTGTTTCAGATTCTTGCAGTTGTCTTCTGCGGAGTTCTGCTTTTACAAAGCAACTGTGAGCCAAGTGATCAAACTGACGAGAACGGTGTCCGCACCGCCAGCTCGGACTGTGACTACACAGAGAACCAGGTGTGGCGTATGATCCCCATGTACACGCAGCTGTACCGTGTCGAGCCGCACCTCACGCCGTACGTCAAACCAAACTGGGCGTTTTACATCGCTGCACTCGGAGCCTTGCTGTGTGTTGGTAAGAAACATGTTTGGGGTTGGGTTTTTTTGTTGGTTTTTATTTTATTTATTTATTTTGTGGGGGGGGGGGGGGGGTATGTTTTAGTTAGCTTTTTACTGCACTTGCAACACAATAAGGACATATAAATGCCGAAGATTTGAGGTGTTACAAGAGAGTAACAAACACAAAAAAGGAGGAGGAGAGATGAGTAAGATACATGTTTGATAGGAAAGAAGGAACAAACCAGACAGTAAGATGGATTTTTTATAGGAAAGAAGAAGCAAGCCGCACGTGAGCAACCACCCACGACACCCATCTCTTTCATAGGAAACCGGAATTCTGGAAGTCTTGGGCCTTTTTTTTTTTTACTTTAGTTTTAGGGGGAATTTTACAGCACTATCATCACAAATAGGTCATATAATTGCCGAAGATTGGAAGTGTTATTAGAACATACATACTCGAAAATCTAGCTGGCTCCGATTTAGTTCGATTGAGTCCAAGAGGTGTTTGCACTGGGTGTGAGTCTAATGAAAGGACATAGAACTCAACATGTGACTTGGTTTGTCAGGAAGGAATTACGTATTTGAATTTCATGAAACTGTAAGAAAGGTGCAAATTTTGCGACATCCTTGAAGGGGGAGGCTGTGCTTTGTAGCTATAAATAAAAAAAACTTGTCATTCTAAGGAACTTCAATCTTTCGTGCTTTTAACGAACAGATTTTCAGGTCTTGATTTTTTTTCTTATACTTTGTCCATGTGTATTCCTTTATTTTAAAACAGAAAAAGGGGGAAATGATGCTAGCTAGATGCTCATCACTTACATTTTAAAGCATTTACAAACCCCCAAAACGAAATTTTAAAGAGTAACGCTCACGCACCACCAAAACTTTTAAGGGAGTAATCTGCAGGTTTAATGCGTAATGGGGAGCCCTGATTGCTGTCATGGTTCAAACTCGGGACCTATTGAATGAGAGGCGAACATCATACCTCTATACCGTGAGAGTCCCCTGTTGTATTAATGGTGTTTTTTCCACAGCCTCTGCCGTGATGCTCTGGCTCGAAGCCATAACAACTGGCAAAAGTTTGAAGGGTATTCGATACCAGCAGATGAGACAAGTCAGAGATCCCCACGAGAATGACATTGCTCCCACTGTGAGTATCAGAAGTAAAGTGAAGTGTGTGAGTTTAAGTTTAACACTTTGTACGCACGGGTCACCGATCGGCAAAGGTAATAAGCCACATCTTCCACACACACACACACACACACACACACACACACACACACATACACTCCCCACACCCCCTTCCCCAGGGATGCTGATTGGCAGCGGTGTGATATAACAACAAAAATGTTGTCATAATGAACTCCTTTTATCCTTCTAGAAATGAGCACTGGTTATTAAAGTTATGATTTCCATTCTGAGCGGTTTGTGTGACCTTTGAGGAAAAAGATTTGTTGCCCCAGCAAGACCCTCAGTAAGCCTTAGAAATTGATTGTGTACCCTTTTTATTATGTTGTCACATGGTGTGTACGGGGGGGGGGGGGGGGGGGGAGCTGGGTGAACTTTGGTGTTGATGCAAATTCAATCAATGACTCAATGTGGCCTTGGTCTGGAACTACTACATGGTCACATTGCCTCCCTGTAGGATGGACAGACTTATGATGGGAAGAAAATGATTGAATGAAAAGTCAGTACTAGGCACTAGATCTACCACATTAATATCTGTTCCTAAGTGGGGTAACTGTTCGATTACGAATAGCTGTTAAGTGCACAGAGCATGTTGTAGACTTTATAGAACATATGTGCGTTAAATATTTTAGATGCAATTATTTTGTTACCACAAGAGTAAAAGATACTAGATAAGGGAAAATAAATCTTATTCGATACCTTAGAGTACATCAGGCCCAATGGTTGTATTATAGTCATTGCCCACTGTCTAAAGTGTTGATGTGCGCTAAGAGATAGATAGGCCTATATATATATGTCAGAACAGAAATGGTTAGAAATTGTTCTGGCGTTCCTTCCCTTTTTTTTACTAATACTAATACAGAAGTAGGCCTATGTACCATGCAGGAAATCCATGTTCCCCTTATTATGGCAACAAGTAAGCTTTACTAGCGCCATGAGTCCTCATCTTGATTGAAGGTTATGTGTACTGTCGTCATTTTAAAAAGGACAGTATGCATTTTGTACAATTTTACAGGAGAGCCAAAAAACTGAATGTTGTTCTCAAGAAAACAAGCTATTTGCAAATTGTTCATCTTAAGTCAATAATTTTAAGAATGCAATTTTGGTAATCACTTAGACTGCGTTATCCTTAAAACAAATGTTGTTTTCTTGGAACCAACAATCTGTTCTTTGGCTGTCATGTCAAATTGTATAAACTGCATATGCTGCACTTTTAAAAATGACAGGCAGTGTAGTCGTAGAGATGAGAATATAACTGAATTCTTGTATTCCTTCTTCCTACAGGGTGGAAGAAAGTTTGTCTACGCAGCACCTCAGAACTATGGGCCAGGATCCTATGGAATGCAGCCTGTGATGGCAGCATCGGGACCGTACCAGACAAGGCCCATGTACGCCCCACCACATCCGCCCGCGATTGGGTTCGGTGGTCCCCCTCAGACCATCGGCTTCCATCCCGGAATGAGCCGACGACCTGAGTCTGAGAGTGGCTCCAGTGGAGTTGTGACAAGAGAGATTGATTTGTAGACGACGCAATGAGCAGCACCTCTAAATGTGACATGACATTTTCTTTTACAAAAGAGTTCCATCACAGACGTCAGTAATTTTTTTTTTTTAAGATGATAAAGTCTAACTCAAAATTACCATTGTTTTATGGATATCCCTCGCTTCCGTCAGTTTTCTTACAAAAGAGTTCCATCACAGCCATTGTTTTTTAAAAGAAAAAAGATGTTTCTGTTTTAGATTAGGAGTTTTTCTTCTGAATCCACACAACTCATTGATTCAAAAGGAAATGCGGTACGGGGGACATATATCAGGCTTTAAGTAAGAGACACTTTTCCAAAATCAGACTTGAAAAATCTGGGTTTTGGTTTTTTTAACATTTACTCCAAATCAATTCTTTGTGTCATGGGTTAGTCATGATGATGTGGTGTAAATGTGGAAAGCAGATGGTTGGTACTCGCATGAGATAAGTGTTTTTCTCCTTTTTAGATCATTACATTTCAACCTAATGCCCAAAGTGGGCGAGTAGCAGTCATGTTGTTTTAGTAAATTGTCTTGTGCATTTATGGTATGCCATTTTTTATAAAGATAATAGTAATAATATATAACATTCCAGTTGATTAAGTTTACAGTAATCAATGCTTTTTTTAAAAACTTTGATAATAACCTGCTGGAAAAAACTTACTGTACAACTACCTTTCCAGTTTTTAAAAAATTGAAAAAAGAGTGCACAGGTTAGTAATTTTGTATATGTACTAAAATGTTAGAATATTTTTCAGACACAGAAACAAAAGGCTTATGTTTGCGTGTAAAGAAATTATTTGTGCGTCATTAGTTCTCTGTGGTCTTTCTGTGTAATTCTGATGACTACCTGACAAGGTGCCTTTCTTGTACAAAGCAAGCTTCAAATAGCAGCCTCATTATTGTATATTATATTTCATATCATCACTGGTTTTTTAAGTATGGATAGAAGCTAAAAATTATATTAATAAATAGCATTTGTATAGCGCAAGTTCTTGCTGAACAGCAACCCCTGTGCGCTGCTTTACAATCTTTATTAATATCCCAAAAGTACTGAGCGCATTGTGCAAAGAGTATCTGTCCTTTTATAGTAGATAATAGAATATATATAAAAAATGCCTTTTATTGTTGACCAAGAAGTTTTGAAACATATTTTATTCCCTCAAATCATTAAAAAAATATATTGGACTCATGCATTATTTCGTCATGCTTATATGAATTGGTCTTTACCCTGTTGTTTCAGCCATCAAACATTCCTTTTGATGTATTCATATTAAAAACAACATTCCATCTTTCCTTTAATTGAAAGGGTTGTGTACACAAGTGTTTCACAGGCTCACATAAAAACAACATTCCTTCTTTCCTGCATACTTTCGGTGAAATAGTTTTGTACATACATAAATGTTCATTCATTTTTTTACAATAAAAATATAATACCCTTATGTCTTTTTCTTCTTTTTGTAATTTATTTGCTGTTATTTGTATTGTAATTGTGTTACTGACTGGCCACTGTAATGTAATGGTAAGACTCTTTGCTGTCCTCATGCTCAAAAAACATGGGTGGATGGCTGGCTGGTATTCTGGTGTGGTTAGCTCCTTCTTTCCCATCAAACGTCTGTCTTCTTTATATAAATCTCTTCCTCTTCTCCATTTTTTGTGTGCATGTTACTTTCTCGTTGCTCCTCTTATTGGTTGCTTTGATGTCGTTTACTCCTTTCCCATTAAACACCTGTCATTTTATCTTTCCTCTGTCTTTTCTTTGTACATTATTCTTTAATGCTAGTAATGCAGGTGGATGAAGAGTCCTGTTTCTTTACTTTCCTCCTGCTGTTTCCGTTTATCTGTCTTACCTTTAATTTTTATTTCTTTTAATAAGTGTTTTACAGCACTCCCAACTGCATACGGTCCTATAAGCACGTGGGACACATTAAATGGTTTCAGTTGGTAGTAAATTTAGAATTTCGCACGGGTAGCGGTCGAAGCCTATTCTATCGATTTTAGACCACCAAGGGATCTTTAACGTGCGCAACTTGCACTCGAGACCTCCGAGGTTTTTAGCCCTTTTCCGAGAAGGCTAGGTGTAGATCTTTCCTACCAGAAGATCAGGGGTGTGGCTGACAGACAGCAGTAAAAAGGAGCCACGGAGTAGCAGTTGAAAGGCTCCAGAAAGAGTCAGGAGCCCAAAGGAGGGTGGGGGAGAAAAGGGGGGGGGCCCAGAAAGTAGAGACGAAAGCAGATGACAGAACATTACTAGAGAGCAGGAAAGGAGGTGAAACGCATGGACGTGATAGGAAACAGTTTTAGAGAACAAAATTTTTCCGTCGCTACCCGGGACCTTTGAATGAGAGGTGAACACCTTAACCTCTATGCCACAAAAGCCCCCATCTCTGTCTTTGTGTTCATATGTTGTTTCCCATCAGCGTCTGTGATGTGTGGCACAGTATCTATTCGGAGACGTCTCCGTCGGAGATAGACCAATCAAAATGCTTTGTGCTACTGGATCAAGTGAATAAATCGCGGGGGGGGGGGGGGGGGGGGGCATGCCCCCCTTTTTTAACCCATAATTTGATATTTTGCTGTTAGGTTTGAATTTATTTTATTTTTTTAATTGATTTGCGACAGTTTTAGTGGATTTAAATGTGTGATCTGCAGCAAACAATACGCAGTTTGACCCCCTAAGCAGCGCATCTGTGAGCGAGAGTACGTCTCCGAGTAGTTCCTGGGTGCTCGCCGAAGACGTCTCCAAATATCTTCTGCCACTGATGTGACCAGGGGCGGCTGGTCCATATAGAGCACGGTCGTGCAGTGCCGCCCAAAAGTTTTAGCGCACAACACCCTCAAGGTGACAACAAAAGAACCTTTACTATCCATCACCCAATCAATTTTACGTACAAGTTCCTCGCCAGAGCCTATTCGCTCCTTACAACATCTACAACAGCTCTACAACATCTAATATAACATACCAAGTTCTTTTGCTTCACCCAAGTAAAAAAAATAGTATGTCCGGTGGTGTAATCTATCTCGGAAAATGCTCTATGGGACAACCCAAACAACGATGACGTTTTGACCGAGTTTCTTAGTTCATAAATATTAAGAAGGGGGGCGCTACACCTGGAGGCTATATCTCGCTTATTACTGGACCGAATTTTACCAAATTTCACACATATAACAAGCATAGTAATGAGTCTTAAAATCCGCAATCAAATTTGAGAAAAAAGTTTCGTTTCCATGGATACACCGCCATATTGGATTTTATTGACATGTCTTACGTAATGAATACCGCACTTTTCGGTCATGGAAATTGATTGGGGTTTTTTTGCATGCGTGTTCACAAACATTAGATCTAAAAATTTTGCTGTTTTTTTCCTAAACGAATTAGAAAATTTTTTATGAATATTTTCCTCAGGTAGCATTCATGTTTTCGAAAAATCCGTGAAAATCCACACTCCAGACACCACCAACAAAAATCTATTCCATATATCAAAAATTCAACACACAAATCTTTAGTATTACCTCTTCTCTTCATTCTGTGAAAATTTCATGAAGATTGGATGAAAAATGGTGGGGTTATTCAAAAAAGTATAGAGAAAAGTCGCGTTTTGAGAAAACGGCCGATAAAGAAAAATAAACTACTGACTTAATGAGGAAATGGCGGTTACAAACATGCCTGGTATGGGAAAAAATACGGTTTTGGGGGGTTCTTATGCGATGAAATAGTTGTAGGAGAGGCTGAGGAAGCTAAAAATGCCTACAACTCAAATTCCATGATTTTGAGCCGAATTTTGACTTTGGAGATGTAACCCCCCCCCCCCCGCCCCCTTAATTAGGCGGCACAATCTCGATGTGCACCAGCCGAACAAAGCCCATAGAGGCAGTCTAAAAATAACGCAATCTCAAACCAGTTCACGACAGCCTACACAATTCAATGCCCGTATTATGATAGCTTTGGAGCAATCCACCGGAGTGCTCCCAGCGATGTGCGATTGGTCCATTGTCTTGCCATTTATATCTCTAGCCCAACTTCTGTAACCCTGAACTCGAGCGAGGTCAACAGGACGTAATTAGGTCATTGTGTTAGAAGTTGGAATGGTGCAGTGGTGAAAGTTTTATTACTCGAGTGCGTATTCCAATGCAGGATGAATGAAGTCGATTGCAAATAAATTCAGTTCACCAAACAAAGTAAAAAGAAGAGAGTGAATGAATTAAGTCTTCACCAAACTAAAAACATAAAAATGGTACAATGAATAAAAAGTGGAGTGGCTTACACAACAAATTATACTCCTTGTACACCTAGATTAGGCCTATTATTTCTCCTGTCTGCTTTTTGCAACTGAGGACCCTAAGTAGTCTAAGACAGGTTTTACTGATCTTCAGGGGCGAAGGCTGACTTGTTTGACAGGGTAATCAAAGTGAAACGGTATCAGATATGGCCTGTAGATATCACACAAGAATCTTACTCGAGGCGGCGACTCTGAGTTGTGAATGAAAACAAATCCGGAATTCATATTGTATGTTCAACCGCCAAAATAATCGGGAAAATATCTTATTAAATATCAGTTCCAACTAAAATTAAATTTAACTTTAGATGTGAATACACAAACACAAAGCAAAGAAACAGAGATGTCAGTACTAGATCTATATGTTATAGATCTACCAGTAAGTCTAACTCTTTGGTAGAACATGACAATTATCATTTTTTAAATTCCACATTTGGCTGTTTTTGTTAGCCTTTCGCGGCCAGGAGCTGGTGTCATAATCGAGGTCACGATCTGATTATAGGACGGTAAAAAGTCGAGGGAAAAAAACAAGCACACGCAGCAGTCAAGAGATTAGGAGTTAGTTCCCCTCATATTTGTGAGGTAGACTCGACCAGCGTTAGTTAGCATACATAAGCAGGGCTTGAGATTGATTTTAACTGTGGCCCCAAAGGGGTGAACAGGGTATATGTGGCAATGAAACAGCTTGGACTGCTATATGTACATGTTCCCTTCAAATCTATTGGTAGACTCTTCCAGACTCACTTTAAGCTTACTTAATCAAAGCTTGCGACTGCTTATGGAGTGGCCCGAGAGGGTGAGGAGGCTATTTCTGAGGCCGTGAAACCGTTTTGAATGTTAGACATACTGTTCATTGTTGATTACGAACGTCTTTTTACATTTAATTTAAGAGGTTTGCGTTTAAGGATGAATTGGACAGCGACAATGTTTCAAAATTAGGAAGGGAAGCAGTGATTATTTGATTATATAGACGCTTCGCCCCTGCTGATCTTGTCCATGTGAAACAACGCATTAAAGTCGAAAGTGATCAAGAGCGCACGTAAAAATGCCTTTAAGTATCATACTTTCGGACAAGTAGACCTAGCAGCGCAGCTAGTCGTAGCTCTAGGTCATCGCATTGCAACGTCTCACATTAAAGAACTGGTGAGAAAGAACAGGCACGTATTGTGCAAAGTTATCTAATGTATTTTGTCCTGTGAAACTCACCAACTCGCCCTTCACGGTCATGAAAAGGGTGATTTGTCGGGGAACTGAGGTATTTTTCGCTAATGCTATGCAGGCTCTTCGACATTTTTTGCCCACTCTACAAAATGCATCTGCGTTTGTCACCGGAATATTCCATGGCCGTCTGAAACAAGGTGGAATTTACAGTCTCGACTAATTAGTTTTCATTTGGAAAGGTGAGATCCAGCTCTGTCTTGAAGAAATTCAGTCTGAGCACTGGGACGATAAGTCCGTTCACGATGGTATCCTGAATGTATTAAAGAGCGAGACATTTCTCTTTCTTTTTGCACTTTTTCAACAAAGTATTAATATACGCGCGTTGACGCTGTTTATGGGATCCTCTAACACAGAAGTACAACGCCCATAGCCGCCTAACAAGTTCTAGACATGTTTAAAGAAGCTGTCGATGAAATGAGAAACAGTATACTTGTTCCATCAACAAGACAGACAACAGAGAAACACGCTTACAAGAGACGCGAACACAATAACACTAACGAAATTGCTGCAAAGCAGGCCTGTGATATATTATATTAGTTATTCAAATTGTGACAGTTTCTTGAAGCAAAATAAAATCAATGCACTCTCAATCTGCGATTCATCCAAATTCCAGGAGTATCAAAAGTCGTTTCCAACAGTTCTTTTAGGATCGTTTACAGAAATATTACTGTTTTGTTAAAATCAAATTACAAAGAGAATTATAAGTATTACATAGCAATGAAATATTTAAATCTCCTCAGTGTCGTACATGTATAATCCAGGGCCTTTATTCAACTCTGAAGGACTACAAGTTAGAGACAACATTTAGAGAAGTATGCAAAATACCAGAAATCGCACGGACGTACGTTTATGTCGATCCACAAGGACATTATTGACAGCATGCCCAACTTCGTCAACATAATAATGGACACTTTTGTTCCAGCCAAAGACCGAAAGGAAATCTTCTTTTTCAAATAGATTTTCTCAAAACAGGTAGGATGAAGAAAACACCTAATTTACATGCCCTTGACTATCTTCAACCTGCTTTAACTTAATTGTACACGCCCACTTTTTAGACCCGCGAGCCGCCCCTGGCTGTATCTAAACATAACAGGATAGTCAACAGTGGAAACCTGACCTATAAATCGCTCTATGGGATAACCCAAGCGATAACGAGACTTGTAGAGAGTTTGACGATACATTAATATTAATAAGACGGCACATCTCAAATGTGCTCCTGCCGAATAGCGCCGAAACATAGCCCACAGTAGGCAATCTAAAAACAAACGCCATAGGCTGTGCACTATTCCATG